CATAAGTTGACCAAGGTAGCTAGGTTTGATTGTTGAGAAAATAGCTAAAGAAATATATGATTACCTAATCCAATCATGCATGACTAGTTCTTTCTTTCTTTGTTGTGTGCGTGTGTTTTAATTTTTTTTTTTTTTTAACTTAAGAAGTGAGCATGTGAGCTTAGTTTGGAGTGTACTATCTATGAAAAATAACTCAACATATCACACAATTAATTGATTAAGAAACAAAATTTACATTATTGAAATTAAAACAATACTTTATAATTTCAATTAAACTAAACTGTAAGATATTGATCATTAAATTAAAAATAAGCTCCTAGTGTTACAGGGTAGCGATCGTAGCTGATGACACGAGACTCTTGGTGAATTGCATTATGATCTTTTGTTTAGTGCTTCTTGATGGCTTGACCACTAGAAAATGGTTTTTAGTTTCCAAAATTTTTCTCACTCCCACACACACAGTGCCTATTTTCTAGTTGTTTATGATTGAAGATACGAAGTGGAGGATCTGAGTGATCACTTTAAATGTGTGGCGAGAGTTGGCGTGGGAAACTTTAATTTCCACCGTTGCTTTTTATTACGGACACGGTTTGTTTGTTTGGTTTGGTTTGGTTTGGTTTTTTTTATAAAAAAATCAACATGGATATGGTTGCTCAGAATCGACCCAACTTCATTTAAATTTCTCTGTACTTTCTTTCAATTTCACTTTTATGGTTGTTGTCTATGTGACTGCTATTCACACTCGTCCTAAAGCCTTGGTAATTGACTCGGTACTAAGATAGATGTCTTGAAATTTAAAAAAATTGATAACTCGAGTCATTGTCCATTGGTACTATGTATTTTTTTGTTATTCTTGATTTTGATGATTCAAGAATCAAATATGAATTAAAATATTTACTTAACTTATTTGTGAAAGAGAATATTTATTTGCTTTACCAATGAATTATTACTTGTAATATTGAATTGAAATATTTATTTGATTCACTTGTGAATTGGAATATATAACTTGATTTATTTTTACTAATATTGAATTGATTTCCAAATATTATGTTTGGAATATATTTTCTTTTTAGTGGAAGCCTATTTAATTGTGTATTCAACATATTTCTTTTGTTGTGGGTAGCAAAAACAGAAACTATATTCTAAAGTTGAGGTTCCAACCCCTAGCACAGGGTTTGGAACCCTTAATAATTTTGTTTTTGGTGTGACATTGCAGGAAATTGCTCAGGTTCCAACCCTCATACTGAAGACTTTGAATAACTTACCATACTTAAATTATATTCTTTCCAATCATACTCCAATAGTCATAATCCTTTGATTGAGCAATTTTAAGGCATATATATCGGATCTTGAAGTAGAGAAGAACATAAGAAAGAAGAAAAAGGAGAAGAGCTTTCAACCTTAGAAACAAAGAGAGATTGAGCTTCCACTTTTGTTCTTTGAGAGATCAACT